CTAGTTCTGAACCCTCTAGTAATAAGTTATAAGAAATATATATACTGGAAGTTATTTATGCGTTTTATTAGAGTCTGACTCACGTCCTCTATAAATGATAATAATAATAATAATGATAAAAATAATAATATCAATAATAATAATAATAATAATAATAATAATAATAATGATAATAATAATAATAATAATAATAAATATAATAATAATAATAATAATAATGATAATAATAAAATTAATATTAATAATAAGATCTCTTGATATTGTATTTAGTTGTGCTAAAGTTCTTAAATCTACCAAGGATGAAGTTATGCTACAAACTTTCAGGTCTGAGTCTTCTTTTATTCTAAACTAGCTGAAATTATTGCAATTGGAATAAACAAAATTAAACTTTGAAAAAATAGCCTATGTTTATAGACCCATGGGTTCCCTCAAAAAAAATCAGCCAATTGGGCCAAGCTTTGGCCAGCTATAGCTAACATATATATATATATGTTTCAGTTTTTAACTTCACATTTTATTAAAAAAGAATAAGAAGAATCATATATACTAGGCTTGCACCCATCTTCTATATCAACTTTTATGAAATCTTCAAGTATACAATTGAACATGTTCTGTAAACAAGGCATAAAATGAAATCTTCAAGTTTACAATTGAACATTTTCTGTTTTCAAGGCATAAAATGAAATCTTCAAGTATACCATTTAACATGTTCTGTAAACAAGACATATAATGAAATCTTCAAGTATACCATTTAACATGTTCTGTAAACAAGACATATAATGAAATCTTCAAGTATACCATTTAACATGTTCTGTAAACAAGACATATAATGAAATCTTCAAGTATACCATTTAACATGTTCTGTAAACAAGACATATAATGAAATCTTCAAGTATACCATTTAACATGTTCTGTAAACAAGACATATAATGAAATCTTCAAGTATACCATTTAACATGTTCTGTAAACAAGACATATAATGAAATCTTCAAGTATACCATTTAACATGTTCTGTAAACAAGACATATAATGAAATCNAGATAGATATACATGTGCATACATATTAGATAGATATACATGTGCATACATATTAGATAGATATACATGTGCATACATATTATTTTTTTGACAATGACTAATTATTTTTGCCCCACGCGCGCGACAAAGAATTTAAAAGTAGTGTTGATAATTGATAATTGATGGTTGAAAAATCACTTTAAAAAGACCCTTTTAAGAACATAAAAATATTTAAATAATTTAGTTTTATTTTAGTCAGTCTCAGTGTTACGGAGAGTACCATTGTTTCCATGCTCTTCTATCTTCTAGTACTGGGACAATTAAACTTCATGTTGGAGCACCTTCCCCTAATATTGGTCAGTTCAATACATGGGTACTGGAATAGGGTAAGGTAGTCATACAATTCTAGTGATTCTAGCCTCTGTACCATGCCTACGTCATAACCCGGTACAAGATACAGAGGATAGGGTCCAGGGCCCTGGTCATAGAATTGTCTTAGGATAAGATCTGTTGCAGGCGAGTATACGCATATAATTGTGATTGGCATATCTTTGGTGGACTGGGAATTCTCCACCAATAGTTTTAATCAGTGACGTCAGACACGTACAGATCTTTCTCCCCGTACCGTATCGACCTTTCATTCGTGCGCGAGCCTCGTTGCGATACCCTATTTCAGTACCCATGGTTCAATACAAAGAATTCTAATTTAAAGAAAGTTATTTCCAAGGAGAATTGAATACAAGGAGGGGGCAATAGGGTTTCCGTACACTTTGCTGTGGCGTATTTGGACTGCTGGAGAACTAGTTTTTGCGTAACAACAATCATAAAGGCAGCCGATCTAATGTAAACAAACATGAGTTAGTATACGGTGAATCCTCATCTAACGCCAGAGATGCACCCAAAGATAATATATATATAGATATGCAGGCAGGTAGAAACCTCCTTCCTAAATTGCTTGTAGCAGACAACTAATTTTTGAACCTCTGAGAAAAGGTGCAAGGAGAGACATCTATAGCAAATTGATTACTTTCTATATTCCTTTCTCCCCTTGCTGCCATCTTTAGGAAATACGCATTTGTGTTACATAGACTGTATGCGTATTGCATCCTGTACGCGTCCTGTACGGGTATTGCATCCTGTATAGTTCAAGTGTTGCTATCTGGACCTGTTTGACCAATAAAATTAAATTTCAAGGTAACACAAACATACAGTACGCGCGGCGTTTTTTTATGTTATGATCAGCTGTACTTAGTAAAGATATAGTAGACAAACAGAAATATTGACAAACCTTTGGAAATTATTTTATATTTGTTAAATAAGTGATATCTATTTAATCAAACGGTTTTTATGAGATATTTAAATAAAATAAGATTTTTTAATTGGTACCACAATATGCAATTAAGATGTTAGGGTTGATGGTTTAAAGAATTATTAAAATTACTGTTTTTTATACATGAATTCTAGTAAACAAGGCAAATAAATTGCAACATTTTTTTGGGAGGACTTTTTCTTACAGGTTGACAATCCTCAAGTCATAAGCTGTTTTAATGAGGTTGTCTTTAATTTGTAATTTGTAAACAAAATTAGTATTACTATGTGTTATAGTAATACTATGTATATGATATAGTTACATTTCATCTATGTATAAATTTGGCTTGTCTGTCTGTTTGTCTGTCTGTTTGTTTGTTTGTATCCAATAAACGTCAATACGGCTGAACCGATCGGCTCAAATTTTTTGTAGGACATCACGTGACCACAGGGAACATAAAATACAGAAATTTTGCCGTGTAGTGGATTTTTTTATATTTTAATCCTGAATTAAGTTTTTAAAAGCCATTGCCTCGGCAAATTTAAATATGCAAAAATATTTGCAGAATTTCATCGCAAAAATTGTGAAATCGGCTTTCTTTTGTTAAAGGCTTTCCAAAGAGTTGTATAGTACAACTTGCACATTTAAACTTTGTCTAGTCAAATTCCTACCTCAGTTTTATTTGCATTGATTAATTTGTTTCATTAAGTACAATATGAAGTATACATTGTTGATACTATAGTACGCATTTAGTGTTATCACGCATAAACAAAGTGATAAATTAGCAACAATCCAGAGGATAAAATGCCATGCGTACGACAGAGATGGTGCTGTTTGCACCTTTTCTCAAGACCTCAAAATTTATACCTGCCTGCATATCTATATATATATTATCTTTGGATGCACCAAATGTCTGTTTATCATTTGTGTTATTGTTTACAATCTTTATTATTGTTGTTACGCAAAATCTAGTTCTCCAGCAATTCTCCTTGGTTTTTCACAGGTGTACGCATTTTTTGTACTGCAATGTACTGTCTCTGGGCTCTAAAGTAAACACAAGACGGATGTCCCAGCCTGACATGGGATCCATTTTTCATCATTAAATTTGTCTGGTCATATTATGTGAATTATCAAAATTTAGCAACACTAAATGCTGTTATCCTCCTCGGATACTAAACAATGATGCAATGTAGAGTATATGCAATCGCAATTAACTTTCCTTGCCTTATTACCTTCAATGTTTTATGATTTAAGGGGCCGATCAATTGAAACTTGCTTTTGGCGGATTTGAGACGAGGCTCAAATTTATTAAATTTAGACTCTTGCTCTTGCGTGGTTTCATCATTTCATCCCAATGTTCCATTTATGATTAAAATATTCAGAACACTCTTGCCTGGTACCATCATTTGATCCCGATGTTCCATTTATGATAAAATATTCAGAACACTCTTGCGTGATTCCATCATTTGATCCCGATGTTCCCTTCATGATGGCAACTATAATACCAGCAAACAATTCATCAAAGGAAGCAAGGTTGGTATTTTTAGATTTTTGAATTCATGATTCATATACAAATTTGACCTTTTTCAGAAGATTTTAAGATTATTATGAAAAAAACTAATTTTACAAGAATGATATTTATCAAAAGCAGCATCCTTTTGAGGCTCCCAGAAATTGAAAAAAGACTAAAATCTTGTATTAACCTGTTATATTTTTTCTTTTTTTTAAGCGTGGATTCAAATTTTGGCAAGGAGGATTCCAGCGATACAACAGAGGAGTTTCCACATCCTAGCTTGGTAATATATTATAAAAAAGGACATTAGGACATTTTATTTATAGATCTCATAATAATACATCTTCTTAGGTCAATTCATAGACAGGAATCATTCATGGATAAGACAATTCATAGATAGGTCAATTCATGTATAGGACAATAAATAGATAAGACAATTCAAAGATAGGACAATTCATGTATAGGGCAGTTCATGGATATGAAAATTCATATATAGGACAATTCTTAAATAGGACAATTCATGTATAGGACAATTAATAGATAAGACAATTCATATATAGGACAATTCATGTACAAGACAATTCATAGATAGGACAATTCATAGATAGGACAATTCATAGATAGGACAATTCATAGATAAGACAATTCACAGAGAGGACAATTCATTTATAGGACAATTCATGGATAGGAAAATTCAGATATAGACAATTCTTAGATAAAACAATTCATGGATAGGACAATTCATATATATGACAATTCATAGATAGGACAATTCATAGATAAGACAATTCACAGAGAGGACAATTCATGTATAGGACAATTCATGGATAGGAAAATTCATATATATGACAATTCATAGATAGGACAATTCATGTATAGGACAATTCATGGATAAGACAACTCATAGATAGGACAATTCATGTATAGGACAATTAATAGATAAGACGATTCAAAGATAGGACAATTCATGGATAGGAAAATTCATATAGAGGACAATTCTTAAATAGGACAATTCATGTATAGGACAATTAATAGATAAGACAATTCATAGATAGGACAATTCATGTACAAGACAATTCATAGATAGGACAATTTATAGATAGGACAATTCATAGATAGGACAATTCATAGATAAGACAATTCACAGAGAGGACAATTCATGTATAGGACAATTCATGGATAGGAAAATTCATATATAGACAATTCTCAGATAGGACAATTCATGGATAGGACAATTCATAGATAGGACAATTCATAGATAAGACAATTCACAGAGAGGACAATTCATGTATAGGACAATTCATGGATAGGACAATTCATGGATAGGACAATTCATAGATAAGACAATTCACAGAGAGGACAATTCATGTATAGGACAATTCATGTATAGGAAAATTCATATATAGACAATTCATATATATGACAATTCATAGATAGGACAATTCATAGATAGGACAATTCATTGTATAGGACAATTAAAAGATAAGGCAATTCACAGAGAGGACAATTTATGTATAGAACAATTCATGGAGAGGAAAATTCAAATATAGGACAACTCATAGATTAATAGATAAGACAATTCAAAGAGAGGACAATTCATGTATACGACAATTCATGGATAGGAAAATTCATAGATAGGACATTGCATCAATAGGACAATTCATAGATAGGACAATTCATAGATAGGACAATTCATAGATAGGCCAATTTATGGATAGAACAGTTCATAGATAGGACAATTCATAGATAAGACAATTTTCATTTAGGGTGTCCCACGAATTATGCCAGTTGGTGAATAGTTTAAAATGTCTTCTTCCGTAATAATAATAAGTTGTTTGATACCAAAGAGAATAATAAAAAATATTATAATAAAATTTAGTTCAAAGCAAGATCAATTTAAGTAAATGATTGTTTTACCGAAATAAACTGCAAAAAATAACATGCTTTATAATTATTTATTTATTAATCTAGGTTTGGAGAGACAGGGGTTCTGCAGATGTGTCAGGTACATATGTCATAAAATTGTGTAATGTCTATGAATGTCGTCTTCTGGAAGATAAATTTGCCTCGACTTACAGGGCTACCTCAAGCAAGTGACTTTAGAGAGGACTGTACAGAATTTATACTGGTTATATCCTTATATTTATACTGGTTATATCCTTATATTTATACTGGTTATATCCTTGTATTTATACTGGTTATATTCTTATATTTATACTGGTTATATCCTTATATTTATACTGGTTATATCCTAATATTTATACTGGTTATATCCTTATATTTAAACTGGTTATATCCTTATATTTATACTGGTTATATCCTTATGTTTATACTGGTTATATCCTAATATTTATGAATCCCTGCAATTATAAATATTTCTTTTATCAAGAAAAACCTCCTTGCAACAGTAAGCTGTCTTGCACTGTACACATTCTTAAACCATTTTTTATTATTTTTATAAAAATTTTAAATGAACCCTCTGCATATATATTGTAAAAGTGTTATACCCCTTGAATATTTATTAACACCCATATGAACTAATTACCCCTTTTATATATTTTTTTTGATCTTCGAACATTCTACATTTTTAAATTTTAATGGAACCCTCTGTATGTAGGAGACACCCTGGATCAAATAGAGAAGGAAACTAGAGCTCAGCTGTATACAATATCAAAACAGTTTACACAACATGTAAGTTTTAAATAATAGGACATACAGAGCGTCCCATATCATATTAGATTATCTCCAAGTTTTAACGCCAAAATAAACCCAAAATACTCGAAAAACCTTGTATTTTCCGCAAGATAATTCTTATATTAGCCCAATTCAATTTTTCAAAATGATTCATTCTTCTTAAATTTTCTGATTAGTCCCGAAAATCGTAAATTAGACCGATTGACGTGATCTAATATGAAGTGGGACACCCTGTATGTGCGCTTTGGGCCACTCTTTTAGTCATTTTAAAATTAATTTGATAATGTGGAGGATGTGGAGTCAGGATCAGCAAAATTCGACTTTATAAAGAAAATCGATTTGAATAGCTTAGTCGACTTTAAATATCATTATTTGAGAACTGTAATTAATTTAACCAAACTTAGTTGTAATTGTAACTGTAAAACTTTTGGCTTTTTAAACATTATCAAATACACTTAAGCATTGCTACAATGTCGTTTTCCTGTTTTCACTGTACGAGGACGATATTTTTAACTTTAACAGAAAAAGCCAAGTTATACAAGAGAAATCACTCTGAAGCCTCCAGTTATCTTTTTTTTTATTTGGTACCATACCACTGAATTGCTGAAATACAGGGTGTCCTAAAAAAACATAGGAATTCAGTGACGAATTGGATATCGTCTTTGTTATGAATTAGCATTTTAATACCTAATTTCAAACCCATAATATTATTATGTCTGCTAGAGTTTATTTTATGAAAAGGGGAAAAGACTGTGAAGATGTGTCTATAATGTCTCCGCAAGATGAACAGTGAAGACGGACAAGTTTACTCTGTTTGTAAATTGCAATGTTCTTGTTTTACTAAGTACAACTGTATTCAGTCAAAACATAAACAAACAAAATGTAAACATAGCAGACGAAACTCTTACAGATTACAGCTTTCTCAGTAGGTATCACTATATTAAATCAAATTATTTGAAAAGACGATATCGAATTCCTCATTGAATTCCAATGTTTATTGGGACATCCTGTATATTAAGGGGAGTGTTCGCGAAAAATGAAAGGGGGTAGGCTTAATGCGATAAAAAAGCGCTTTTGATCGCTACTAATCTTACTTCTATATGTTGCGTCTATAAGGAGAAAATTGTTAAAGACGTCTCATACCGAATAAATTAGCGTCCATACAAATTCAGAAAATTGCAACATACGACTTAGACCGTATAAAATCCATTTAATTTCAAACAAATCATTCAGACAGTACAACCTATAGTCATCGATTATCTTTCGCCACATTTGTATATAGTTTATATTTTATAATATTTTATTTTTTTAGAAAAGTTTTAACTGATTTCGAAAAATGTGAGTGGTCCGCGGCATTCTTAGATAGTTGTGCAAGCCGCAAGAGAAATAATCAAATTCAAAACAAATTAATTAAAAAATGTTATAGAATATAAACTATATACAAATGTGGCGAAAGATAATCGATGACTATAGGGTGTAATATCTAAATGATTTGTTTGAAATTTTTACGGTCTAAGTCGTATGGTGCAATTTTCTCAATTTTTATGGGCGCTAAGTTATTCGGTACTAGTCGTTTTTAACAAATTTCTCCTTATAGACGCAACAGATAGAAGTAAGATTAGAAGCGATCAAAAACGCTTTTTTATCGCATTAAGCCTATACCCCCTTTCATTTTTCGCGAACACTCCCTTTAAGAAGGATTGTAAGCGAAATTTCAAGTGACCCTTCGTGCAAAGATGGGAATGCCCGATTTGCAATTGCACCCTTAAACCTTAATCTGATTTGATTTTTAAAATCAATAAAGCGTAAGTCACTTTCGTAGAGAAATCGCAAATGAAAATAAAAAGTTTAAAGAATCAAAACATTGATATCTAATTAATATTTGATCAGACAACAGTTTTAAAGGTACCATTGTAAATCATACATTGTCACCTTTACATTGAAGGTCACATGAAATTACGCTTACAGTCCCTCTAAGAATAAATTAATATTTTGTTTAGATTTCAACCTTGATGGGGGACTTCATGAGACGGGTTCTTTCATCTTGACAATCCTTTAATTAATAATCCTTAATTTTATAAATACTGCAGATACGGAAAATATATAACTATTTAACTCTTTTTATATTTGAGCAATATGTCATGTACAAATATTATTTCTTTTCATATTCATGCGCAAAATCATACAAAATTTATGACTTTTGTTATTGTCTTTCTTTGCAATGTCGTGCAAAAAAAATATGTATTTCGAATGAATGCACATTTTCGAGCAAACCTGGTTTAGTATTGATACGAAAATGATGCGAAATTTCGTGCAAAAAATCTACTATTTCATAGAAACCCTATCCCTCAATAAAACTCCAAAAAAAACTCTGAACATTAGTGGACCTTTTAATTTTTATTTTTATTTGGGGTTTAATAAAGAAACCACTGAGGCCTTCATGAATGAGCCTATACTTTAACTGAATAATAAATCAAGAGCTTTGTACATTAGCGGACTTATTTTTTCATTAATTATTTATTATAATTGGGGTTTTATGAAAAAAACTTTCATATAAATTATATATGAATGCCGGGGTAAATGCGCCATATTTAATCTAATGCGTAAAAAAAAGGGAGGAGATCAAGACAAAAAACAAGATCTGCATTCATGCATGAAAGGGGGAATATACAGTAGCGTAGGTCAAAATTGAGCCTGCCCCCATCCAAAAAGAGACGTTTTCCTTTCAAAAAGTAGATTTTTCAAATTTGCAGAACTATTTCTTTTCAACATAGACTAAAGGTATGTGTTAAACAATTATGGCTATATGCAAAATACAAGTGTTTGTCAATTCTTCCCGCAAATCCCTTGAGGCGGTTATACTCGTAGTACCATAAGACTAAATTAGAGGGAGGAGGGGTGGGGAAGAATATAACTTATTATTGTCTTTTGGAAACTACTCACTACTCAGGGCTTCAGAGAGTATACTGAAATTTGACAGCCCTCTATTTCCTTATTGTGATACAAATTTTAACATTTGATACATTTTCGGAAAGCCCTTGAGCTATACTAAAATAATCTGCAAAAAATTGCAAATTTGCAAAATTTCAAATATTTATTGCAATTTCAAGTTATTAAGCAAAAAATGTGCAAAAACAAAAGTGCGCGAAATATGATCACTTGATCTCGATATTCATTGTGGAAACATTTAATTTATTGTTAATCCCCTCTGTGATAGTTCTCTCATTGATTGCGCATGCGCAATTTTTAATTTCTCTGCAATCTGACTGGATGTTCGGATTCTCCAATAGACACTTGATTGGTTGAATTTTATACACTTTCCAGGTGTAGAAATTGATCTAAAAGATGTAGAAATTGATCCAAAACGTGTAGAAATTTATCTAAATTTTTTTTTAAATCTTTGTCTACGTACACTTTCTAACAGTTTCACAAAAAACCGGGAATTTCATCTAAAGTTTTCAGAATCTGATCTGAAATATTTTTTATTTTTCTAAATTTCTTTTTTAAGCAAACTAGATAAAATGTTTGCCATAAAGTTTAAAAAGCCCAGATTTTGACTTTAAAATGATATTATTTGATATGAAAAGTGTTGACTTTGATCTAGAAAATATAAAAATAAAAAGATTTAGATATTACTTTACACATTTTTAAACTAACTCTACACATTTTTAAACTAACTCTACACCTTTTTAAACTAATTCTACACATTTTTAAACTAATTTTACACATTTTAAAACTAACTCTACACATTTTTAAACTAACTCTACACCTTTTTAAACTTACTCTACACCTTTTTAAACTAATTCTACACATTTTTAAACTAATTTTATACATTTTTAAACTAACTCTACACATTTTTAAACTAATTCTACACATTTTTAAACTAATTCTACACATTTTTAAACTAATACTACACATTTTTAAACTAATTTTATAAATTTTTAAACTAACTCTACACCTTTTTAAACTAATTCTACACATTTTAAACTAATTATATAGTTATAAACCTTTTCAGAAATAATTATACACATTTTTTAGCTTATTTAGATGTATAGTTACCCACTATGGATGAGACTTCAGAGACGGTTGTTGTTTAGTTCGTTTGCTTGCATTCAGGGTTCCTTGTGCAGGGTCCAAACTGGAATATTTCTGTGCTTATTTCATTAAGTAAACCAACAAAATACTTGACTGGATGCAGAAACCTAAATCAAGCTTTAAATCGTCTTTGGTTGTCTTTACAGTCTCATCTTTAATGTGAAACCCTGTATCATTCTACACATTTATTTACGAATTCTACACTTTCTAGAGCAAATTTCTTACTCTGAAAAAAGGATCCCGGGACAAAATCAAACTGATATGAAGTAATAAAAATCATGACGATAATTATCACTCCAACACTGAATAGAAACTGACCCAAGATCCCCACTCCAGTCTGTAGGCGTAAATCTCATTCCGACCAATAGGAGCCGACCACCCGCATTGGCCCTGGACCTTCACACATAGCGAAATAATTCTTGGTCTCTGGATTAACTAAAGAGGGTTTTATAATACAATCAACATCTGATCTACAGCTAATTCAACTACTTTAAATACTTGAGCTGAGCCTAATCAGAGGTCTACTGGAGATACACGGCAAGTAATAAATCTAAGACAATGAGGTTCTACTCCAATCCAGCTAGTTTAACTACTCTCGTACCAGCCTGTCTGGACTACCAGCGAGGACTAGGATGTCATAGACTTATCTCATACTCTGGGAACAGTGTGGACCACTCAGACACATCTAAGCTAGTAGGAGCATCTTGAATGGCAGGAACATCTCCCCAACCAGACTATCAGGGACTCAGAGAGCAGTTCCAGTAATACACAGCTAACATAACAAAGACTCTAGGAGAAGCTGGGTTTGAGAGATATTAGAAGCAAATACAGTATCATTCAGGATTAGGATGTAGGAGATACTGAACTGGAGCAGCTGAATGAGATATCTAGTTGAAGGATCTGCATATCTGTAATAAGATAAAATAAACTTTAATAGATGTATTTATACCAATAAAATATAAGCTGATAAATCCCATTCATTTATACTCTGAGAGATAGACATTAAACTATATGAATAATTAGAATTGGGTAGTTTATAAAACTGTTACTGGGATGGAAAGTGAAGTCTTTGCATTAACCCTTAATTGAGGAGGGGTAAATGGTTGACCTTGACGTTCCTAGGATTTCATCTGGAATTTGAATGATATAAAAGGTTTTTATTCATTACAGTATTTCTTTCCATACAAATTGTATCCTTAAGATCTGTAAACGGGATTTATAGAGTCCTATTCACAATGGGACAATGAAATCTCTGTCTTGTCTGTCTATTTAATTGAAATATTTTGTTATTATTACTAACATTAGGTGGAAAAAATAATCAAAACAGCCAAGAGCTATTTTCCACCTAATTGCTTTATACTTGTACTGTTAATATAATCATCAATTCTGTGATTGTAAACTCTATCTGTATACAGATACATTTATTTTAGCAATAAACTGTATCTTATCTTATCTTATCTTGTCAAGGATGAATTAGAAATGTGTGTTTAAAATGTATATAACTGAATATTTTCAAGTATGGTTTTGTCCGTCTCGGCTCGGACAAAATTGACCGGGCGGTCAATTTTGACCGATGCCGAGACGGACAAAATTGACCGGGTCCTTATCTCTTGAGACGGGCAATTTTGACCGGGCAGAAAAAAAGGCTAAAAAGAGCAGTAAACATAAACTTTTTACACTGAACGTAACATTAGCATAGAACTAACATCAAATGCAAACTTTTCATAGAAATAAAAAAATTTCGAAAACAATTTTTCACAGATTTATATCTGTTGGAGTTGGAGGTTCCTGAATTTGAATCTCTCCCAATTGTTGCTAGCTGCTCTATCATCCTATCGACCTGTAACATGCCTGCAACCTATAGGCGATACTCGGCATATCTAAAGGAAGGGTGGGAATGAAACAGGACGACATTTGGTTTAAAAATGAAGGCGCTAAAAAATAAAAACCTTACCTGGTCAAAATTGACCGTCTCGTTACTAATGGGTTAAATACCTATCATAAGTGGTTCAGGTAGCTTCACAGAAACAAAAAGCATCCTTGTTGACCATCATTTAAAACCCTTGGCTATTATTCATCCTGCAAACCTCCAAGATACACCATTTTTTTAGATTCATTGAAACCTTAAATCAAACTTATAGTTCTTTTAAAAATATGATTCTCTTCACTGTTGATGTCCTGGTATCCCTTCTAAGATTATGCATAGAAAGAAAATTATTTCTCTCCCTTTCCCTCCAAAGATTACTGTGATTAAGAGAGACCACAGAAAAATAGTCAACAATCGAAAAGAACTGATGATTTCTCTCACAACCAAGATTAGAGAATTCAACTGCTCTGATACCCATCCAATTATTCCGACACGTCTTGCACCTTGTTTTCATACATGGGGAATAAGAACGAAGAAATCTTCTCACTTTACAGGACCAAGGACACTAATGGAAGGATGGTTAACTCACAGAAGGGGTCAATGGAGAGAGACCAAGCCGAGAGACATGTTGCACTTGGAAGATAATGCTAGGATCAGGATAGGAAAAACCTGCGTTGGATACTAAAAAGCAATATACAGAAGAACAGAATGTCGGGCCAGATCCAAAAATGAAGGTTTAAAGCTCAGTCGTGAGAAAAGAATCTAAGGATGTTAAGTAGTGATGTTCTCAGAGTGATTCAGGAAATTATGATACCGAGAGCTCTGATATCCTGAATATATAAACTTATAAACTTAAACACTATAAAATCTTGTTATCCGAATAACCAAAAAGTGAATTATAGCCAGCTGGATACTGTTGATTTATAAGCTTGAGACCAACAAGCAATTTTTGAAGTTTCGATATATTTTCTTCTTTTATCCTATTTTGCTATTTTTGATACTTTTGATCGGGTTTCTCTCACTCTATTTGATTCATGGATGAAAAGTCTATATCTGTCTTTTTTTGTTTTTTCTTTGATTTGTTTTTAATTGTTTTTAATTTTTTCTAAAAATAAGATGAAAAGTCATTTCCCATTTTTTCGGTTTTCCAGTACTCTAGATT